AATTACATAGTCACAATCATATCATCATTGATGCATTATCCATTCTCTCAACCACATTTTTATATTATTAAAAAAAACCTTAGATGTCATATAGTTATAAATGCACACAAAAAGAGAAGAAAAATGCAGAGGTGAATATTTTTATTATGTTGATGAGAAAATGTTGCTCTATCTTAATTTTTCTTCTACTGAGTTTTGCATATTTAAATGTTTAATTTTAGATTTGCATAAAATCATTCTATTTCAGTTATTTAACATGTTAAATAAACAAAACAGAAAGCAAACCAATCTCTAAAATAAGATAGTAATTACCTTTCTAAACACCATTAAATTCTTATATTAGAAGCTTTTTTAGTCAGTAATCTAAAATATTGAAAATTAATGGCTTAAATGGTAAAAGCCTCACATATTTTAGGATATGTTTAAATAGTATATATTTACATGCAATTGCCTTTTTAATTTTAGAAAAAATTACTTAAAATGATGTATTTTTATTAGATATTCTCAATATTTTTACTTATTCCTTTTGCTATTCTCTCTGATTTAATGTATTAAGAAATATATTAAATAATTTATTTAATAATTACCTAAGATTATCCCAAACTACTCCAATGCTCCCATTCAAAGCTTTAGTACTTTCTGAATGCTTAAAGTTTATAAAGTAATTAATTCTATTTTAAGCTTTCCATCTAAGCAAATTAATAAACTGTACCACGAAATAAATGAAATACTACTAGTAAACAACAATTTGTTCAAACTCAAATTAATAAAAAATCCAAACATTTGCATGCAATATTTTGAAAATAGTGTAAAGTAAGATAATGCAGTGGCTGAAAATATTATGTTTTTTTTTAATAACTCCCCTTTTATGTCAAGTCTTTTCATAAAAGTTTGGCTAAAAATTCAGAAGCAACATTAATCACCTACATTATAATGTTATATTACTGCACTTTACAACAATTTGTTCAGCATGAAATTTTCGAAGTGCTTTTTAACTTTTTTATTGAATGCAAATATAGTTAATTTTGAAGTGCATCTAATTTTATTTAGAAATTATTATTAAAATAAGAGTATTTTTATATCATAAACAGAACAAATAGAAAGTATTTTTTTGTAACTCTTATCTTGGATGTTCAGATCTTCAACAGAAGATTTAGGACCAATGAATATAGTGTTTAGCAAAATAGATAAGATTCATACTGTCACAGAGCTCGTGATCTAGTGCTTGAGATTATATTAAACAAGATACAATCACAAAAGTAGCATAACAAACTGTATTAGTTCATTCTCACACTGCTATAAAGACATACCCAAGGCGGGGTAATTATAAACAACAGAAGTTTAACTTCACTCACAGTTCCACATGGCTAGGGATGCCTCAGGAAACTAACAATTACAGTAAAATGGGAAGCAGGTACCTTCTTTACAAGGAGTCGGAAAAGAGAAGGGAAAGTGAAGGGGAATAACAGGAGCAAGATGTTCTGAAACAGGTACGAAGAAATAGGCAAAATATATGGGACAATAGTTTCAACATACTGGACATCAGGCAACAAAGAATAGTGATTTCCTAGAAATTGGGAAAAAAATAATTTGATGCCTACAATATTTGTGATGTGTATCCAGGCTACAATCTAAGGAAGAGAAACTCAGGTGAAGTTCAGAAATCACCATTAATTTATTCAACAAATATTTTAACGCCCTTTATGTTTAGATAATATTACAAGCAGTGAATAAGTTTATATTCTTGCCTTCATATAGTCTGAGTTAGGACGGATGGTCAAGTGCAATACACTTGACATTTCCAAGGATAGTTCTTGGCAATGGCATACTACTACTATCTGTCTGCCATACTTCATGTTTAGTCTAGTTGAAATTTTGCCATTTTACTTTATAATACTTTATTTCTATTCATCTGCCACCTATATTCTTGGAAGTTATACTGTATCATTTATCTTCAATACTAATTTTATCTTGGCACATTGTAGGTATTCAGTGATTTGTTAAGCATTGTTACATATGCTATTATAAAGGTAGATTTGAGTTTTGTAAGAACATATTTGATGCAACCCAATGTATTTGGGTTCAAATACTTTTATTTCATTTGATATAAGTAAAACTTTGAAAAGGTTTTTAATACATTTTTAACATAGTTGTCACTTGTTTAAATGAGTCTAATAATAAAATCTTAACAAGGTTGTCATGAGGATTAAATAAAATATTACATATAAATGTTTAGTTTGGAAGTGAAGGACTTTGCACATGTTTGTATTACTGTTACAGTTATCATTATTTAGAAGCAAAGCAAGTGAAGCTGCAATGGAAACGTTTTAAAACCAATATCTGATGGCTAATAAATGTTTTTTGTTGTGTTCAATGTGGAAGTCATATGTGAGTTTGGTAACAAAAATTACAAAGAAAAGTAAAGGCTGGAACTTCCTACTTCTTAACATTTTATGTGTTCAAAGTTTTGGAAGGTAGTAACATTTTTGAAGGAAAAAAGCTTTTATATATTAAAAAATTGTGTAAATTGCTGTGATAATAATATCACCTCTAACAATTTCATTAAAGTTATCAGGTTGAAATGTTTTCATTTTAATTCTGTTGTAGCCACTTAATAAAGTCCTTTCTTGGTTAATGTATTCATGACAATTTGGCTAAGAAACTCTATATTTACCTTTGCGACTACTTAATAAATGGATCGATTTACTTAAAGCAAACAATAACAGTTTGGATATTTGTCTTTCAGAGTGCAGTTTTAACCCAAATTATCTACAAAATAGTATATTTATGTTTATCAGAAATATTTATCTTGTTTTTGTGTCTCTCATACTTCCAGGAATACTCCATGAAAAAAAAAAACCACAAAGCTATTGTCTAAAAATTACGTGCAATCTTGAATCCTACTAATAATTATGCGAGTTTTATAATATATACACACACACATATGTGTGTGTGTTTATGTATGTATATCTATTTACCTATTTATCTTAGTTCATTTTGTGTTACTATAAAGGAATATCTGAGGCTGGGTAACTTATAAAGGGAAAGGTTGATTTGGCTTATGATTCCGAAGTCTCAAAAAGTTCAAGAATGGACAACTGCATCTGGTATGGGCCTCAGGCTTCTTACACTCATGGTGAAAGATGAAGAGGAGCTGGCTGTGAAGAGATCACATGGGGAGAGAGGATGCAAGAGGGAGACAGGGGAGAAGGTGTCAGCCTCTTTTTAATGACTAGCTCCCCTAGGAGCTAATAAAGTGATAACTCACTTACCCCAGAGGGAGGCCATTAATCTATTCATGAGGAATCAGCCCTCATGACCCATACACTTCCCATTAGACCCCAACTTCAAACTTTGGGGATCAAATTTCAACATTAAATTTGGAAGAGTCATTCAAACCATAGCGCTGTCTGTCTGTCTATCTATCATCATTATCACAGCTATAACTTAACTCATTCTTCCTCATTATAAAAAAAAATTTTTTTTTGAGATGGAGTCTTACTTTGTCACCAGAATGGAGTGCAGTGGCATGATCTCAGCTCACTGCAACCTCTGCCTCCTGGGTTCAAGTGATTCCCCTGCCTCAGCCTTGCAGCAAAACTTCTTAGGTTTTAAAATTCCCTCAGCATTTATATAGAACAAAATGCCATAGAACAGAATTAACTAGCTGTAATTTTAAGATGTTTAAATAATATATGGAGCATAGCTACATGATGTGAATGCCAAATATTACAACTGAAATGTCTTCATGTAGTCATTAAAGCATATGGAATATACATTTATAACTTCTTAAATATTTATTTTGAATGTAATACATGTCCTCTAGATTCTGCTGTCATTTTATGAAGCCTCAAATTGGAAGGATAGATAAGCTTTTATGGAGCATTTACTGAAGATTCTTGCATAAAGAAAGTGATGTTTGGCCAATTATCAAAGTGAGATTTAAATCTTGTTTTAATTATGTTAATTGTGCTCAGGTATAATACACAACTTCCTATTGCAAAAGATAAATTGTGTTTAGTTATTGGCATTGTTTTCTTTCTCAGGAGTTTTGAACATGTCTTTAAGATTGCAATAGTAATCAAAATAGGAACACTTCTTGCTCACTATAGAAAATAAACAAAGTCAATTGTGTTGCAATTCTAAGTACTTTCCACTAAAGAAATAGACACATCAAATGGAGGTCATATCACATACAGCTAAACTCAGCAATCTCTTTCTTAAGCAACACCGTGATATTTGGTACTGTGAGGGATAGGATGGCAAAGTAAGGTATTTGATAGCAAATGCATTAAATCAGTTATTAGTGTAGCTTTGTTGAATATTTTGTATTTAAATATATAAATATTTAGTAATATGAAGTACACTAGGGGTACTGCCACAGTGATAGTAATGTAGGATTTCACTCAATGTTTCAAATACAGTTAATAAACATAGCTTTCCATTTTTTTAATAGATGAAATTATAGTCTACTGTGTATGTTTATATTCCCTAGAAATATTGTTTGAAATTATGGCTTTTTATTTAAAAGGAGTATTGACACTACTTGAAATATATCAAACATGAATTAAACAATATTTAACTCATTCTAAATGGTTATAAATTGCTTTTATTATAAAAATGTTAATTTTCTAAATGAATTTAATCCAAGTCAAAACTATAAGATCCATAAAGTCTGATTCACTAGCAGTTTTTTCATGTTTCAGCAAAGGCTTAAATTATTTGTTAATTATTGTACTTAGAAACTAAGGTCATTCTGTGGTTATTTTTAATAGATTCACTTTATAATAAAAAGTATATTTATAAAATTGGATTTTAGTGAAATTTAATCTAATCCATTTTGGTCACAGTCTCATGTATCACACAGCACAGAATGAATATTCAAAAAAAATCATAAATAGATTTCCACCAAGATGACCAAATAGGAACAGCTCTGGTGACCAGCTCCCAGCTAGAGTGATGCACAAGGTGAGTGATCTCTGCATTTTCAACTGAGGTACCAGGTTCAACTCATTGGTAGTGGTGAGACAGTGGGTACAGCACAAGGAGGGCAAGCCGAAACAGAGTAGGAAGTTGCCTTACCCAAGAAGCACAAGAGTTCCAGAGAACTCCCTCTCCTAGCCAAGGGAAGCCATTAGGGACTTCTCTTGGGACTCTAGCACTCTGGCTTAGATACTGTGCTTTTCCCATGGTCTTCACAACCCACAGACCAGGAGATTCCCTAAGTGCAATCAAATTAGGACTCAGGATTAAAAAACTCACTCAAAACCACACAACTACAAGAAAACTGAACAATCTGCTCCTGAATAATTAAATGAAGGCAGAAATAAAGATGTTCTTGGAAACCAATGAGAACAAAGGCACAATGTACCAGAATCTCTGGGTCACATTTAAAGCAGTGTGTAGAGGAAAATTTATAGCACTAAATGCCCATGAGACAAATGAGGGAAAATCTAAATTTGACACTCTAACATCAAGATTAAAAGAAATAGAGGAGCAAGATCAAACAAATTCAAAACCTAGCAAAAGACAAGACAAGAAATAACTAAGATCAGAGCAGAACTGAAGGAGACAGAGACACACACACACAAAAAAAAAAAAAAACACAAAAAATCAATGAAGGCAGAAGCTGTTGTTTTGAAAAGATCAATAAAATAGATAGACTACTAGCCAGGCTAATAAAGAAGAAAAGAGAGAAGAATCAAATAGATGCAATAAAAAATAATAAAGGGGATATCACCATAGATCCCACAGAAATACGAACTACCATCAGAGAATACTATAAACACCTCTATGCAAATAGACCAGTAAATCTAGAAAAAAAAAAAAAAAAAACTGATAAACTCCTGGACACTTACACTCTCCCAAGACTAAACCAGGAGGAAGTCAAATCCCTGAATAGACCAATAACAAGGTCTGAAATTGAGGCAGCAATTAATAGCCTACCAACCAAAAAAAGTCCAGAACCAGATGGATTCATAGCCAAATCCTATCAGGCATACAATGAGGAGCTGGTACCATTTCTTCTGAAACTATTCCAAACAATACAAAAAGAGGGAATTCTGCCTAACTCATTTTATGAGACCAACATCATCCTGATACCAAAACCTAGGTGAGACACAAACCCCCCCAAACAAAATTTCAGGCCAATATTCATGATGAACATTGATGCAAAAATCTTCAATAAAATACTGGTAAACTGAATCAAACAGCACATCAAAAAGCTTATCCATCACAATCATGTTGACTTCATTCTGGGAATGCAAGGCTGGTTCAACATCTGCAAATCTAACAATGTAATCCATCACATAAACAGAAGCAAAGACAAAACCACATTATTATCTCAATAGATGCAGAGAAGGCCTTTGACAAAATTCAACAGCTTTTTATGCTAAAAACTTTCAATAAATTAGGTATCAATGGAACGTATCTCGAAATAATAACTATTGATGACAACCCACAGCCAATATCATACTGAATGGGCAAAAACTGAAAGCATTCCCTTTGAAAATGGGTACAAGACAAGGATGCCCTCTCACATCACTCCTATTCAACATAGTATTGAAAGTTCTGGCCAGGGCAATCAGGCAAGAAACAGAAATAAAGGATATTCAGTTAGGAAAAGAGGAAGTCAAATTGTCTCTATTTGCAGATGACATGATTGTATATTTAGAGGACCCCACTGTCTCAGCCCCAAATCTCCTTAAGCTGATAAGCAACTTCAGCAAAGTCTCAGGATACAAAATCAATGTGCAAAAATCACAGACATTTCAATATACCAATAACAGATAAACAGAGAGCCAAATCATGACCCATTCACAATAAAATACCTAGGAATACAACTAACAAGGGATGTGAAGGACCTCTTCAAAGAGAACTACAAACCACTGCTCAAGGAAACAAGAGAGGACATAAACAGATGGAAAAATATTCCATTCTCATGGTTAGAAAGAATCAATATCATGAAATGGCCATACTGTCCAAAGTAACTTACCGATTCAATGCTATCCCCCATCCAGCTACCATTGACTTTCTTCACAGAATTGGAAAAACCCACCTTAAGCTTTATATGGAACCAAAAAAGAGCCCACATAGCCAACACAATTCTAAGGAAAAAAAAAAAAAAAAAAGCTGGAGGCATCACCCTACCTGACTTCAAACTATACTGCAAGGCTACGGTAATCAAAAACAGCAAGCATGGTACTGGTACCAAAACAGAGATATAGACCAATGGAACAGAACAGAGGCCTCAGAAATAATGCCACACATCTACAAATATGTGATCTTTGACAAACTTGACAAAAACAAGCAATGAGGAAATAAATCCCTATTTAATAAATGGTGGTGGGAAAACTGGCTAGCCATATGCAAAAAGGTGAAACTGGATCTCTTCCTTACACCTTATACAAAAGATAACTTCAGATACATTAAAGATTTAAACATAAGACCTAACACCATAAAAACCCTAAAAGAAAACCTAGGCAATGCCATTCAGGACATGGATATGGGCAAGGAGCTCATGATTAAAACACGAACAGTAATGTCAACAAAAGCCAAAATAGACAAATGGGATCTAACTAAACTAACGAGCTTCTGCACAGCAAAAGAAACTATCATTAGAGTGAACTGGCAACGAACAGAATGGGAAAAAATTTTTATAATCTACCCATCTGACAAAGGGCTAATATCCAGAATCTACAAAGAACTTAAACAAATTTACAAGAAAAAAAAACAAACAATTCCATCAAAAAGTGGGCAAAGGATATGAAAAAATACTTCTCAAAATAAGACATTTATGCATCCAGCAAACATATGAAAAAAAGATCATCATCACTGGTCATTAGAGAAATGCAAATCAAAACCACATTGTGATACCATCTCACGCCAGTTAAAATGGCAATCATTAAAAACTCAGGGGACAATAGATTCTGGAGAGGATATGGAGTAATAGGAACACTTTTACAATGTTGTTGGGAGTGTAAATTAGTTCAACCATTGTGGAAGACAGTCTGGCGATTTCTCAAAGATCTAGAAATAGAAATACCATTTGATCCAGCAAACCCATTACTAGGTATATATCCAAAGGATTATAAATTATTCTATTATAAGGACACATGCACATGTATGTTTATTGTGACACTGTTTACAATAACAAAGACTTGAAACTAATCCAAATGCCCATCAATGATAGACTGGATAAAGAAAATGTGGCACATAAACACTACGGAATACTACGCTGCCATAAAAATGGATGAGTTCACATCCTTTGCAGGGACATGGAAAAGGCTGGAAACCATCATTCTCAGCAAACTGACACAAGAACGGAAAACGAAACACTGCATGTTCTCACTCATAAGTGGGTGTTGAACAATGAGAACACATGGACAGAAGGAGGGGAACATCTCACATTGGGGCCTGTCAGGGGGTGGGGGGCTAGAGGAAGAATAGGAGGGACTGGAGGAATAGGGGAGGGAGAGTATTAAGAAAAATACCTAATGTAGGTGACACGGGAATGGATGCAGCAAAACACCATGGCATTTGTATACCTATGTAACAAACCTGCACATCCTGCACATGTATCCCAGAACTTAAAGTATAATTTAAAAAATCATGAATAAAATGCTCAGCATGTCTGTCTGGTTGGTAATCTCTTTGTGTACATATTTTTGTAAAAATACTACCATGTTAACAGAAACCACTCTACTTTTTGGCATAATGATAATTATATTCTGAGGTACTGTATAATTGATGAATTAGTCATTTTTGTTGCTTATTGTTCATTCCTCCTCTACTAGAATGGAAATTTCATGAATGCAGAGATTACTATCATTCACTGACATATCCCACGTATCTAAAATAAAGCATGATATACAATAGATAATAAATATTGAATAAAATAGCTTGAATGAAATACTATAAGTGGCTTTATTCTGAAAATATTTTCAGACTTTCTTGCAATAGGTGATTTTTAAGCGCTGTATCTTAGTATTTGCTATCAGTAGAACAAAAAATTGAACAGATCAAAATCGCTGAGGAAAAAATTAAAATTTCTTCATTATCTCTATTAAAAATAATAACAGAAAAATGTGGTAACTTTGACATATTTATTTCATGCTGCCCTAAAACCTTCACTTAGCCAATAGAAAATGAGTAGTAATAACAACAGCATCAACAATAATCATAATAGCAACAATAATTTAAAAATACAAACCCATACAAGCAGAGAAAACAGGAGGAAAATTAGCAGTAGTTAAGAGATGGCTACATTTTGGAACTAACATCTGCGAATGAAAATTTAGGGAAGATGATTTCCTAGAATGCAGATATCTCAAAAATTCTGTTTATCCTACCAAAAATTTCTATGAAGAAGTGCCATTAGTCAAGTATTGTGGCACGTGCCTGTGGTCTCAGCTAATCGGGAAACTGAGCTGGGGGATTGCTTGAACTCAGGAGGCAGAGGTTGCAGTGAGCAGAGATTGCACCACTGCACTCCAGCTTGGACGACAGAACAAGAAATTGTCTCAAAAAAATTTTTTTTAATGTTTAAATTAAAATAAATAAATAAATAAAGTAGTGCCATGGGGAGGTGATGAAAATAGAAAAAAATATATTTAAAGAAACTAGAATCCTCTATATATGTTCTTAATCTAATATTACCTGGCTATTACCTGCCTGGAATCAGACAGCTGAAGGTTGTTATGTTAAAAAACATCTTATATCCTATAAGAAGAGTTCTCTAAGACAGCAGGCACAGCTAAGCAACATACAGAAATCACGGTATTTAAGGATAAAAATTCTACAAACAAACTGGAGAGACTTTACTCATCACCTGTTACTGCTAGGTTCCTACAAGGAACAGCGACAATGGTATATCCCTCAGAAAGAGATTGGAAGATTGCAATTGTAGATACTGACATTTGCATGCCATCTCTCAAAGTAGTCAATACTTAAAATTCATTCAGGAGTTAAAATGAGTAAAACAGAAATACATGAAATAAGATGGATGAAA